AACCCAGAATTCAAGAACAACATTAAGGCATGTTAAGGGAAACAGACCTCCTTCACTTGTGTACACTTTCAGCCTGCTGTAAAGATTCAGACCTTACAGGAGCTCTTCTCTCTTCTGCCCCTGAGCTACCTAACTTACTGGGTTTTAAGTATTTCAAGTAATTTCATGCTGCAGAATAGGGTTCCTTAATTATTTCATACCTAAAGCAATCTGACTGCATAACACGTCTGGTAGCTTTACGGGATGAATGAGCATCACACGTTGGGGGGTAACTACAAATCTGATGTACACAAGACAAACAGTGAGTGCTAAACAATTTGTGACAAGGACTGTTAACACTCAGCCTGGGCTCTCCCAGGAAACAGGATGCCAACGCTCAAGTAGTCCAAGGACACTGTCCTTGGCATTCTCTCTGCAGACAGCACTTTGTCCCAAGCATTATTACAGGGACTTGGGGCATTTTCCGTGGGGATGTGATTATTCATGGTGGAAAAAGCCAGAATTATACTCCTAGGCTTCTTAGGCTTCGTGCCTTAACTAGAAAATGGCAGATTTTTTTTTTCCCCTGCATAAAATCACACATAAAACCCAACATTTGATTGCAAAGGGCAGTGTGTGCTAGAGAGCAGGAAGCACACGCAGGTTTTTCAGGATGCTATAGTTCACACTGTACATAAGATTAGTTAATTTAAGGAAAAGATTACAGCATATGACCGTGCTTCCAGAACCGAAAAAAAAAAAAATCTTATACAAGAGAACTACCCAATCTGTTAGAGATACTTAAATATCATTATAAAGTACATTCCATAGCTAGTCAGAAGTCAAAATACAAAACCTCGAAAATGAAAGGTCTCTCAGGTCGGATATTCAATATTTCAAATTATGGAAACTGAACATCATGCAGGTGTATTTCCCAGCATAATTTCTTCGTGGGCCTGGTGCTTTCCTTCTCTTCCCCATTACACCACAGAGGAGGACAAACCAATTTAAGTATCTAATTTAGACATCAACCAACATTCCTGACACACTTTTCTTTCCTACTTTTTGTTTACTATTCTCTTCATACAGACAGGTGTAATGAAAGCTGGCTTCCATGACTTCAGTTCTCTTACTGACAGTCTTTAATTCCCAGCCTTCCCCTGTTTTATGGTTTCCAATGGCACAAAGCTTCAGAGAATTTGTGCTTCATCTTCCGCTTCACTGTGAAAAGTGGGGGCAAGAATTGCACCGGAGGCTTCTGCATCAATATAGTTCAATTGGGTCGGCTGTGTTCTACCTCAAAATGCAAATACGATATTTCAGGGGACAAAAAAAACCCAAAAAACCCAACAAGATCTATGTAAGAAGCTAAATCAGTCACATAATCCAGCTGCACCCCAGTGCTCTGACCTAAGTTTAACCATGAAGGAAGTGGAGGACAGTCAGATACAGACACAGAGGGTACAAGAGACAGCAGTACTGAAATGTGACCATTTGCACAAATGGGCATCAGAAATGGAGTCACAGAAGGACAGTTCTACACCAGTGTTACTTCAGAGTTATTCTACAGAATTAATGCAACGATCAGAACTCTGGAGTTAAGGGTAGAAGTCAAGCTAAACCAAAAAACAAAAGCCCTTCATGAAACAAAATGTTGAAATCCAGCATCTTATGTGAGTTTTCTTCCTCTGCCCTTAAAGTGAACAGCACTGAGCTAAATTTCAATTACATAAATGAAGTAAAATTTCTCCCTATGGCATTGCTCCAAATTTACAAATCAATTAATAAATTGAAAATTAGAATCACACAGAGTTGACAATAGCATAGAGGATGAAGCCTAAACACTTCCTTACACAAGAAACTAAAATCCATTAAAATCTTGCTCAAAAAAGCCTACTGATACTAAAATACCAAAAAAGGCAAAATAACAGAAAAAACATTATTCAGATCTTGGAGATAATTCAGATTGTGGGCTTTTCTGTGGTGGTATCAAGATGCACGCACAACACACAAACAGTCCACTAACATTTTAGGTAGTTCTGGCTCCAGGAATGCACTGCAGGAGTGTTGCACGAGCTTTTAGTGCTAGATGTGAGTGGAACAAAGGCTTCCTTGACAAATTCAAGTCATTTCCTCGTGTACAAGCATTTATCTAAATTTCATTACCATTTTGACGCTACCTCCTCAAGGTGTTTTTTTCCACCTTTTTCGCCATGCTGTTGTTGCAGAACTTTAGCGAATTAGCAATACTAGAGCGGAAGAGTTGAGGAAAACCACAATTTCTATTTTTTTTTTTCACCCGTATTTCTCTAGGTTTGCTCCAAGCAGTTGGAAAGTATATGTTTCAGAGTATCACGAGACCAGATGAGGAATACACTAACTATGAAGAAGAGCCACAAGCCCTAACGCTTCTACTTCACATGACTGGAAGTACATCCACCAAACACGTGGTCAAAGTCATGCGACAAAAAACACTGGCACATGAACAAAGATGCAAATCCACCCACACAATTGCAGTGGGGCAGAGGAAGGAAAAGTTTCAGAGTTCTAGGTAAAGACGCAGCAGGAAACAGCGCCAGAACACTGCCCTGCATCACTGTCTTACAATCTATCAGTTTGAACCTCAAACACTTCAGATAAATGATGAGAATTCATTAGAACTTGAGGCTAAAATAAAAAGACTTCTTTTTCTTTCTTTTTTTTTTTTTTTAGGTTGGAATAGGGCAGAATGTAAGATGTTTATGGAGATTTTACTCTCACCAACTTCATAGCTGCCAGCAAGGCAAGTCAGGAAGGCTGTATTTCCTGACCTGTGATTGAAGCTTCCTGCAGACACTCCTGGAGCACGTACAGAAAGGGCAGCCAACAGGTTGGGAACACCCAGTGCACTTCACTTGTTTCTGGCACAAGAATGAAATACACATATTTTTGCGCTGTGGAGTTCTCTTTGCTTCCTGATCTGCTCCTGCTCCAGTGGGGATCACCACTGACTGAGCCAGTGCTCCAGAAGTCATGCCTCTTCCCCACTTGGTCTTCCTGCATCAGCCCTCATCCTTGCCTGTGCCCTCCTCCTAATGCTTGCCATACAGCCCCATCTCCCCTCTGGTATTAAATGTTGCTGCTCTTTTAGTCTTCTTCAAACAGACATCACCATTTTTTACCTGCCCTTATCATCCCTACACTCCAGCTACCTGCCCTCCCTTCTCCACCTTCCATCCACCTTTACTCGGTGGGGTTTTTTTTGGTTGTGGATTTTTATGAGGTTGGTAGTTTTTAAAATTATTTAATTATTTTTAAGTTACCTGATTAGGCTACTAGTTTCTTCTTCTCTCTCCCCCATCCTGACAGAGTCTCAAGGACAGAGATTCCCCATCTGCACAGCCCGTTCTCATTCTGCAGTGGAACGTTTTTTCACAGGGTGGGTATTTAAACATCTGGGGATGCTCCTGAGCCACAGCAGCACAAAACAAGCCAGAGCAGATCTGCAGGGCCAGGGACAGAGGTTGCAGCTCCTTCTCCCACTTTGGGAAGCAGTTCAGTTTCACATGCTAGCAATACAACCACTTCCTTGACGCATACTTCTCCGGGGTAAATTCATATGCATACTCTTTCTTCCCCAGCCTCTCTAGCTGAAACATTTTACAAGTCATTGTGAAATCAGAACTAAAAAGACCAGGTGATAATGGAAAGGAAGTGCACAACATGAAGGATAAGCCCAAACATGCCTGGTATCTTCAGCTGCACTTGAAAACACTTCAGAGTTGTCAAAGGAACATGGGGGAAGGGAAAGAGAATTACCTACTACCTGAATGGTGCTCAGAAGCACAAAGAGCAAGGTAAAATAGAAGGATACTTGTTACATAGTTCCTGAAAAATGAAGCTGAGAGCAAAGCCTGCAAAACACTATGTGGAGAATTGTGCAGCGTGTTCCAGAAGTTACACCTCCTTCTGAGAAAACAGCATATTAAGAGATCTCTATGCTCATTTTGTAAAGTACTGGTACTCTGCAGAATCCTTTTCCACCCTTCATTTGGGATTTTTAGGCAAAAACAAGAAAACAGTAATGAAGTAGAAGCCACAAGCTTCTAAAATTAAAGTTGCTACACAGAACTGAGCTCATAAGAAACCAGCAACAGTTTCAGGGTTTAACTGTTCCATCAGCATTCACATAATTCACAGCCATTAGCCCCATATAAATGTGCTACAATCACTGTCACTTCAACTAAAGTCAAATAGGAACAGATCTATCTCAGAATTTTGGTGGAGGCAAATTCAGCTGTTTAAAAACACTGGTCATTCGTATACATTATTTGATACCACTTGACAGGAATTAGAAAGTAGAGAAGGAAGCAAAGCTGGATGGGTCCTTAAAATCAGTGCAAACCAGGATAAACAATAGCATATTATATGACATCACAAATCGAATTACCGAAGCCGTGAAAGGCATTACACAGAGAACACCAAAAGAATTTTGCCATCTTATCCAAGAATTACATATTGGAAATCCATATAGAAGCCTTACTTGAAACAAAGGTATAGAAATGGAGGTAATTAGCAAATCCATTGAGAATTTATTTTGGTAAGAAGATCAGGGAAGGAAATTAGATAGAGTGGATGTGGCTGCACATACCATGAATACCGGAGTATGTTGGGGCAATAAGACAATTCTGTCAAAAACAACTTGTTAAATTAATTATACCTGGACCTCCTGCCAAAATTAGTCTCATTTAGATATGAATTAATATCTGATTAATATCAGATTAATATCTGTTTTTATTTTGCGCACAAAGTACATTTGCTTATCATAAGTCTGCTGGACTTCTTATCAGGGGCTTCTCACCAAGCACTTGAAACACTGCTTAGAATTCATAATATGTGCCATGAAACCAGATCCAACCTACCTAAGCTTAAAATCCACATCATGCTTTTGTGGTGTTAGTACCACAACAAATATTCATAGATCTGTCATCTATGTTTACATCAATATTTAAAGTGAAAAATAAAGTGACAGTATTACCTACCTGACTTTCCCAACTTCAGTTACTCTAGTCGTTTCTTTAAGCAGCAAGTTATTCAGTGAAGAGATCCCCAATTCTAGAGAGCAAGGAAAAAGGGGGAAAAAAATTACATAAGTGACCATGTATTACAGCTCCTAATGCAAATTATTGATAGCGAAGAGCAATGCAAGTTCATGTTTCCCGGAAGAAAATAGCTACCAAGGGGGAGAGTCAGGAGTTTCTCCAACAGTTCTCTTCTGCAGAGCACCACAGATGTCAGAATGACAGAGCTACCTCCATATATGAATGAATTCAAGGATTAGAGGCTACCTTGTTCGCAGCAGTGTTGGAAGAAACTTTCACTGACTTGCGACTCTTAGGTCTATATTATTTATTCTTATATCCCAATATGTTCACACACTGTTTAAAATAAATAATATACATAAATAATACATAAAATACATAAATAATTTACATATATATGCATACATATGACAGTTATATGAAGTAAATAAGGATCAAGGGGACAAAAGCAGTAACTACTTAGTTCTGCCTGCTTTCTTTGCTAGGCTCAGACTTCAACATTGGCAGGAGCGCGTGGAAAGGCCCTGAACCAGATGTATATTCCAACTTTTTTGTTGTTGTTGTTGCAAGATTAGCTAGATAATCTTCCTCAATCATCAGACTTCAGATTACTGGTAATACCAGGCAGTTCAGGGAATAACTGGTTGGCACTAAGTCCCAACAAAAATGTGTAACTTGGCAGTTAAATCCCATGATGTGTGAGAGGTCTGGCAAACAAGTTTGTTATTGAGTTATCGTCCATGACATCTGCTACCAAGTTCAGCATTTCTCAGCTAGAGGAAGGATGGATTACAAGTACTGCAGACAATAACAGAAAGGAAACACATTCGTAAGAGCTGGCTCTGAGCGACAAGAAGAATCACTGCTACTTGAAGTGGTAGCAGATTATTTACCGCAGTTAAGCTTGTATTAAAAAAGAAACAAAAAACAAACCAAACACAATAAATCAGAAAACGCCCTGTATTTAGAGAGCATCCACCTGTAATGAAAAACTGTCACAACAGCATTCATGGATCAGAAATGGGCTTCAAGGCAGACAGAAGCTGCGAGGAAAGCTGAAAACCACAAACAACCCAGTTCACACTTCAAATGTGCATACAAAAATACACATGTGGGTGTGTATTCTACTACATTCACATGTAATCCACATGTGAATGTAGTAGCATGTGTAGCAGCATGTACATTCCCATGTGTGAATGCATTAGCAAAATAAATTTCATGCATTTCCTATGTTAGGTAGGGCAGTGTTTTCGTAGACTTTGTTTTTAAAAAAAAAAAGCAAAACACACCCACAAATAAAAAACCCCACCTCTCTAATTTACTTGAGATATCTGATGTTTTAACTTTCACGCTTCATGGCAAGGCATTTGCTTGCTGACATTTACTGGGGTCTTGCTTGTCATATTTCAGCCCCTCCTTGTTCACAACCCAGGGAACTGAGTCTTCTGCTTTTTCTCAGACTGACATAAGACAGATTTAAAAAGCAAAATTAAGGGGTTTGTATCTTTACCCATGTAGTTTTCAGAAAAGATTGTCAGAAAAATTATGGACTAGAAACAATAAGCTAAGGCAGATGAGAGCAAGTAAAATAGACTACAAATGCAGAAAAATGCTAAAACAAAAGAAAAATGTTGGGGAGGAAAGGCAGAAAACTTGTCTGCAAGATGCTACATGTCAAGAGCTCTGAGCACCTTTTTTATGAGGGTAGAAATCTGGGTGTTCAAAAAACAAATACTTCACATGAATGGATTACTAAAGGAAACAGTATTAAGAATCAGCTATAACTGCCTTCAGGAAGATAATGTCTGATTATTCCTGACAGTGACACAAAGACACTCTGAGGAAAGTATGAGATTTCAGCCTCCTTCCTTTGGCTAAGGAGTGAGACAACAGGTTATTACTCTTTGTTTATTCTTAGTTACCTCGGAGTAATGAAGTGGAGACAAGATAAACTTTAATTAACAGAACAATAAGCTTAGCAGACTCTGCACATAAAAGGTGCAGAGTTACTGGATGAGGGCTGGAGAACTACAGATCCCAAAGATGGGACACCCAGTTGGAGCAAAGTAACACAGCCGCCGAGGCACACAAGAAAAACACCTCAATAGCCTAGTACTTGGGCTCCACATAAACTATATAAACCATGTAAAACATTCAGAATACCTGTAAAGAGAGATATGATGACTTCCCTCCCCCCAAACCACCCCGGTAAAATAGCCATACCATAAGTTGTTCCTCAGACAAAACAACCAAGCAACCAGGTTATAGCTCATGATGCCACACTGATTGCTTAGCAAGTTCAATATGAAGGCAAATAAAACACTTAATGCCAGCAACTCAAACATGCACCTTGAGAATAGATGTCAATTTTGTAACTGAATTGTCATGGAAAATTAGCTACTTTCCAGTAAAAGACTCTGTGGACAATATCTGATACACAGTTGTGAGAAACAACTAGTTTAACTGCAGTTAAGCACGGACCTCCTCACTCAAATGCAATGCAACTGAAAGCAGAGTAGAGAAAGTAAATATGAGTAAATTTTACTGAGAGAAACCTGAGGCAATTCATCATTAGGAGATGTTAACACCGAGTACACATTAATAGCACACGTAACATCCTGAACATGTAGAGACTGCAGTTCTGCATAAACAATTTCGTCATGTAACAAATGAGGTAACGGTAGAAGTAAGAGCATCTGTATTTACAATTCCTTAGACAAATGTCTTCCTTCATCCCTCTCCTTAAAGAAAATTAGACTAAGTATAGACTTATAGACTTTCCTAAATTGTAGCGTTGGAAGTCTAGGGCCGTGCTGTAAGAGCAGCAGGACAGAACAACGAAAGCCATCCTTGTACACAACATTTCAAAAAGTCAGTCACATACAAGATGATCTGGACCAGTGGCTGTAAGTCATCACGTCACAGCTATCTAGAGTCTCATGTGAATGAAGCCTGTGGACTAAACCCACATCCTACTGGAGAATTTCATTAACAAAACCATTTCCATAAACGGTAGACTTTTGGCTTGAAATGCTATTAAATGACAGCAGAGTGGAAAGAATGGTTGTTAGCAGGTACTGCCAAGGCACACTACTAATCAAGCTGTGCCCACTTTCTGTTAAGTCTGGACAGCTTATTGCAGACCTGCCCACATCACTCTTTCATTAAAAAAGGGAGTTATAGCTAGCAATTGTTCCAGTGTCATCATTTGCATGAGAATTTGAAGCTTTATGCCTGTCTGAAGCCTTGCCATCAAGCCTGTGTTTCTAAGTAATAATTAGATTACTGATATAACCAGTTTCAAGAAATCACTAACGTCGCCACACTAGCAGGTGATTTCATCGTCATCCTGATGTTATCTGATCAGATGACTTCTTATTTGACTTAGACCACCACAGCTTAAAAGTCATATTAGCCTTTTTTGAGGAGTTCACTACGAAACCTGTGCGTGACAAGGTACAAATCAATAATGTAAATGAGACACGGGTTGCCTTAGAAAGGTGAAACATATCTACAGTGCTTCTACTGGAGAGACACATATTATTTTAGAGAATCTAAATGCCGAAGAAATATATTTTAATGGGGCAGCTACCGAAGCATCATAAGCATTAACAGACTTGAGAAAATGAATATTGTTATTCCTAAGTATCAAATTCAGAGAGGAAAATCATCAGTGTAGTCCCATGACACTTTTTTAAGTTGTTTTCTAATCACACAAAACAGGTTGAAATTTAATACAGAACCTGAAAACACTGCACACATAGAGCAAACTTTAAAAATGCATTTGTGTTGAAAGAAAAACTACTTTCTAAGCTAAAGGGATCATGAGTTTAAGGTACATGGACAACTAGTTAAATAGCCTGCAAACATTCAGTTTCACTGGTTTATCCGTAAGAAACTGATAATCGAAATTTCATACTGGGTTTCACATTCTTCATTATAACATCTAACCTTTTCATCCTTTTGCAAGCTATTTAAAACGGAAAGAGAAAAAATACCAAGGACTAGTTTTGCATCTGCTAAGTGAAGTTCACCTCCATAAAGATATATATAGTATATACACAGAGATTTACAACCATCCTCCTATCCCAGCTAATGACAAAGTCACATACTCACAGAAAATTACAGATAGCCAGTAAAGCACGTTTTATTATTTCATTATGAAGCTTATAACTGGTACACCAATTGACTTAATTGAGCCATAACAAATGTGAACAGAGTCAGGAAATGTCAGTGAGTTCAGAGCTGTGCATCTTTGGCACCAAAAGAGGCATAAGGCACATAACACTAAAGGTAAGTTGAGAAACAAACAAACAAACAAAAAAAATCATAAAAGTTCATTTTAGTTTCTGCTATTCCTATCAGAGGGATACAAATCTCAAAATTAGAGTCCTTTACAGAACAAACTAGAGATAGAAGTTGCACTCAGATATGCATTTAGGAGGGAGACACTCTATTCACCAACTTAGCCTAGGCGAGGACTTGGGAGAGTAGCCGGCTTCAGCTTCTCTCTGAGCATCTTTTTCCCACCTCAAAACATTTTTTTCAAGAGATCCTTAGAAGATAGCAACATTAAGACACTTCAATCCTTTATAATGTTTGTACTTACTTCAGTTGGCATCCAGAAATCCCCCCAAGGGAAAAAAAAATTCTTTTGGAAACCAGTAGGTGTCCAACACCTAGAAGACTGACTTCTAAGCCATGTTTATCTGTGCTAGTATCAGGCTTTCCTATTTCTTGTCTATTCCAATGAAACTCCTTGTGACACACATGTCTACTTGGAAGACGAATGGACAATGCTGTATGAATACACTAAGGAGAAGACTGAAAGATACCTTGGTCAGAGGCTGGAAGTTCAGAAATTCAGCTACAGAAGGGGTGAAATCTTGTTTTTCACTCTAATTAGACAAACTAAATTTTTAGTATGGAGATTCAGTGAAAGAAAGAGTATCTGTGCCCTAATGCTTCTTTCTCAGATTATTTTACTACCACAAAGGCTTTTATTTTATTGTA